CAATCCCCCTTCCTCCATTCTTCCTTCTGTCAGGATTTTGGGCACACATGCACATGCACCCAGTTTGTTTTTCAGACTGGTGGGTCTAGGACTCGAACTGCACAGTTGACCACGTGGGATCTGTCTTAATATCCACCTTAACCACCATGCCACCAGCTGGCCCAAGTTTATTTCTTTCTTTCTCCCTAGAGAGAAAGAGAAGGAGCTCAAGAGACAGAGCCAGAGAGAGAGAGAGAGACAGAGACAGAGACAGAGGCAGAGGCAGAGAGATGGCACACCCAGCAGAGTATTGACACTGCGATCCACCCCAGTCTCAGCCAGTCCTGGAGCATGTGTGTGTCTGGTGACTCAGGGAGGTCTCTGGACACAAGCCCAGAACCTCTCCATGTGGGTCAGCCTTGCAGAGCACTGTACGACCATCATGCCACCATCCATCCTTGGAAATCTCAAAGGCAATCAAGGTCCAGGAGTAATGGGCCCTCCACCCCAGACAGGCTCCTCTTCTTCTTTTTTAAAGAATTATTTTGTTTAACTTTATTTGTTTATTTTTTTGTTTTAATTTGACAGAAAGGGGCAGAGTGAGAGAGAGAGAGAGAGATAGGGAAAGTGAGAAAGCAAGCTGCCAGGTCCAGGACTCAAACCACAGTCAGCCATGTGGGAGTCTAGTGCCCTTAACCACCACGCCACCTGCTGGCCCCTGGCTCCTCTTCTGTATTCCTGGGAAAGGCGCCTCCATCCTCCCCTCTGCACAGCCATGTGCGCTCTCACATCACACCCCAGTCCATCCCCAGACCATGCGGCATTTATCTCCTACAGACATCTCAAGTGAACGCACCCCTTCTCCCACACGTGCTAATCCACGCAGGCAGGGCTGTCTGCTTTTGTTTGTTGCTCTGACCTCAGCACTGGGCACAGGGCCTGGCAGGTGAGGGAGGCTCAGTAAGCACATGTCAAGTGAGTGATTCCGTGAGCGGACATCTTTACCCATGATAAACTGAGGCTCAGAGAAGTGACTGGCCCAATGTCTCCCATGTGGTACTGGACTGACTCTCAGGGCGACTCCAGTGCCGTTTCTCTGTCTGCATGAAGCACACAGGTTGGGTGTGCTCTGGCTCTGCTGGCTGGACCAGCCACTCCTCAGCAGCTGGCCCGATGCCTTACCTGAGAGCACCGTGAAGACGGCTGCGAAGGCGTTGAGCTTGAGCCCGTCGATGACATTGCTGGAGTGGAAAAGCTCCAGACACATGAGGCTGAAGCCGACCACCAGCAGGAGGATATAGAGCACCTCGGAGACTACCGACAGCCACAGGACCCCTGCACAAGAGAGACAGAGCCTTCAGATGAGGGGCTCGCCACCACGGCCCTCCCGGTGTCCACTCCACCCTGTGTGCACTGCAGGTAGCGAGTTGTTTTAGAAGAGGTCTCAAAAAGCCAGATGGTAGCACAGTGGTAAAACGTGACACTGAGAGGCTGACCCACATGGGAAGGTCCACGGCTCAAGTCCGGAGACCTCCCTGAGTGTGCCAGACATGAGTGTGCCCGCGAGCAGGAGCCGGCTGAAGCTGGGAGTGGATCGTGGCATAAGGATCCCGCTGGGGGTGACATCTCTCTGTCTCTCTCACTCCTGGGAAAAATAACTAAATAAAGTTTCAAAAGGAGAGAAGAGGATTGTCTGGGGAGGGTTCTGACGGACAAGAGGCAATTATGGCCATCCTATTTTCCCCACCAGGACTGGCCCAAAAACCCAAGCTTGGGCTGGCTGGTGCATGGCGTTTTCTGGGTGACCATCCTGGACCACCCCTGGGACCCAGGGCAGTGTAGAACCGACAAGTGGACCCACTCGGACTGGAGGGAAGGGCTGTTCTGTGGCCGGCCGAGAGGCTCTTTCTCTTTCTCATCTGCTAGACAATTGCCACTGGGAGCCTTCTATGGCCACGAGGTAGAGTACAGGATAAAGCTGGTTCCCCTGCTGCTGAGCGGAGCAAGGAAAAGCTGACGTGGCCAATCACCAGCCTCAGACGACCCGATTCTGACTTTTATATGAGACAAACGTCTCTGTTGCTGAAACAGTTCCTGTGAGGTTCTGTTACCTGTGGCTGTACAGATCCTAGCTCACACAGCATGCTAGCCCAAGGGACACCCACACTTCATCTGCCCTGCACCCCACCCTGCTCCTTTCTAGAAACCACCATTGTTACTCCCATGGCTTTAACTTGTGCTTCTCCCAGGGGCTGCCATGTTCTGTGTCATCCTTCCCTCCTGGGCACAGCTGATTGGTCTGGCATGATCGTCGAACCTAGAACTGACCAATCAAGGCCCACCGAAGCAGACTGGGAGAGAGGCCCTCAGATAAGCGCCTGGGCATCCTAACCGTGTGGGCACCCGGTTCCAGCTGTTCCTGAAGGACCAGCTGCATCCTGCCCTTCTAGTTTGGCTGTTCAAACCTGCCGTGTTCCTCCTTCCACCTGGACTGTCCCGGAGACACTCAATAAACACTACTTGGCAAATAAAGCAGACAGCAAATTTTGAGTCCTGTTTTGGTCCCTGTGGAAGAACTTGGATCCTGAAACACCCGTTGTCATTCCCAGCACAACAGGGCTTCCAGAGTTCTGGAAAACTTTTCTCTTGTTTCTTTTTTTGACTACAAAAATAGCACATGTCCGGGGCCATCCCTTGGACTCCTGTAGGAGAATAATGTGCTTTTGGCAGCCTGGATGTTGTTAAAACACCCCCTGGCACCGCACGCTCACAGCCTCCGAGGCCCTTCTCTGGCCCAAGGCCCAGCAGGCAGCAGGGAGGAAGGCGAGCTGAGCCATGCCAGGAGGTGACCGCCCTGGGAGGTTTCACCCGTCACCTCGCCGCTGCCTCCACGCCTCTGGCTGCCTTTATAGACCCCGCTGGCACTGGCAGTCGGCCCTCACCAGGATGTGGCTCACTGACTCCTGCCTCCTCAACAGTGCCCTCACCCCAGCGGGGTGTGCTCAGCCCCCCTGCATGGGCCCTGGGCCAGGCAGCCCCCCACCCCTCCTCACAGCAGGACCTAGCTCTGGAGTCATGATGGGAGTCGGGCTGGGGCATAGGGGTGAGGATGCTCTGGAAGTAAGTTAACCACAGAAAAACAGATGCCTGGCTGGGGGTTGCTGCTTTTTATTCTTTATTTATTTATTTTTTTTTTTTTTGAGAGAGAGAGAGAAAGATTATTTCTACAGAGTACATGCGCTTGCCAGAGAGACAGAAAGAGACAGAAAGTGAGAAATCAACCCCCAAAGGGCATGGCCATGCCACAATCCCTTCTCCTCCATTTTCTTTTCAGGATTGTAAGCATGCACACACATGTGCCCGGTGTGTTTCAGAGTCACTGGTCCAGGATTCGAACCGTGGACGACCAAGTAGGAATCCAGCACCCCAGCTACCACATCACCTGCTGGTCCCTGGGGTTTGCCTCTTATTCCCACTAGATTGTAGGTTTATTTGTGTTCTCACAAGGCTCCAGGAGCATCTGTCGGAAAGTTTCAGCCGCTCCAGCCAAGGACATTAGTAACAATAATGACGATCGTTGTTATTATGCTGATAGTAACATCAGCAAGTACGGTCAGGGCCAGCAGTTCTGAGGTGGGTACCACACGCCAGGCCAAGGGGACTCTGGGTCCTACCCCCTCTCCCTGGCTGTAGTTGGGGGTTTCTGTCTTTGGAGGACTGTCCTTGGGCGCCTGGAGCCCACCTCGCCCATCCTTGTGCAGAAGGTAACTGGGAACTTACATTTTCCTCTCTGTCCTACGGCTCTGGGCTGGGGCAATGCTGAGAGGGGACTCACATGCACAGCTCCGCTGGGTCAGACCGGCCGGACTGCGTCTCCCTGCTTGCCTGCCTCCCTCCCTGTCCTGTAGCCCCATTTCCCTTTCCAGCCTCCCTCGGGACTGTGACTTTTAGAAACGACATACACCTTTATCTTTAAGGGAATCTGACCTCAGACATTCATGTGAATTATTTCCCCAACTCCTCCTAACAGCCCTGCAAGCTAGCAAGTTACCACCCATTTTACAGATGAAAAAGTTAAGTTCCGAGGGATTAAGCAGCTACTCTATACAGCTAGGTAGTGGCACAGTCGGGATTTGAACTCATGACTCTCTGACACCAGGAACCATCATGAGATATAAGCTGGCAGGATACAGTGGCTACTTCGAAATCATTGTCTGGCTCACGGCCCACCTCTGCGGCCTCTCTTGGTATGGAGCCATGGATTTCCCAGTTCAGGCTCTCATTCAAAATGTTCTCCAGCAAAACCAAGCAATTCCTGACTCGGGATTCTGGGAAGAGGATGGCCAGCCAGGCATGAAGTGACCTTTGGTTCTCAGCAATCCTGAGCCCAGGTGGCCACCAGGTGGGGGAAGGAGGGGACAGTGTAGAGAAGACGGCTGTGAGGCCCCTTTGGAGGCAGGCGGGGGAAGCTGGGTTCAATCCACATTCAGAGGCAGGTGAGGACATAGTGATGGATCTTAGCAATGGAACAAATGACACATGCTCGGGAGTGCAGAGGACGGATGGAAAGAATGTGTGGGTGAGACCTGCTGCAGGAGCCAGGGACACTCCAGGTGAGAGATGACAGTGGCGTGAGGATGAGTGGGCGAGTCAACCACTCAGGGTGGGGGCCTGTGGGATAGAAACTATCAGGGGCCATTGTTTTGGACTGAGGTCCTGCACTAGGCCCCAACACAACGGACCAAGATGGAGTCACTTATGCCAAAATGCCACATCTTCAACCAAAACTTTAATGAAACAGACCAGGAGATTCCGGTCCACCCAGGTCAGTGCCATAAGGAAATAAACTAGGCCCCATCTTGAGGCTTTCTTGGGAACTGGTGGTCGGCCTCACCCTTGGTCCTGGGTCTCTGAAATAAGCACCTGAAAGAGCTCAAGGTACGGCCAAGGTGTCATTGAACTTTCTGTTTTATGAACATCGTCCCTTGATCTTCCGTCAGTCCTATTTTCCCTAGAACTTAAACACAATCTCCTCTTTTTGTTTTAGGGTTTTTTATTTGCCTTAGGGAGCACATACTCACCGGAACAGAGAGACAGTGAGAGGGAAAGTGAAAAATCACTCTGCCCCCGTGCCCCCAGGGGGATGGCAATGCCACAATCCTTTCTCCTCCATTCTCCTCTTGAAATTTTGGGCACATATGTGCACACACCCAGAGTGATTTTCAAGCCACTGGGTCTGGGACTCGAACCACAGTCAACCATGGGCTCCTCTTTAAGAATTTTAATTGTCCTCTAAAATTAATCCAGAAGCCTGGTCCCATGGGGACGTTGGCATTTAAAGGAAAGGGGTGGGGCCGAGAGGCTGGGCAGAGGGCCGGGAAGGTGCAGCAGACAGGTGCCCCCTCCCCACCCCTTCCAAAGCGCATGGGGAACGCTGCCACCCCACAGCAACCGCTTGTGTCTCCCTGGGACTTGGCACCGCACCCCTCCACCCACCTTCGAGGGATTAACACCGAGCACTCCCTAATGGCAGTGCCCAGCGTGAGCCAGTAAACAAGCTCCCGGAGGCAGGCACCACTGTAGGTTGTGGTCTCCACATTTGAGTTTGCTGTCCGGGAGAGGTGCTTAATAGTGGGCTTGAGTCACACTCTTCAATTGTTGGAACCAGAGTGAAAGATTGATTCACTTTCCCATGATATTTTTAATTCTTGTTACCTCAATCAAAAAGTTTCTGCTTGGTGCTTAAGTTGTGTCCTTAACACCTTTCTCACACTTACCAATTTTTTAAAACAATAAGAGGGCCAGCCTCGGACTCAGAACCTTCCCCACACTTCCTAGCCAGACCTGAGTGAACGTTCTCACGGCTCTCTTCTATACCAGCTTCCCTCCTCCTCCTTCCCTCCTCCACCCAGGCCCCCCACTCCCCACCTTCTCTGCCCTGCTCTGTGCCCAGGAGGCTGACTCTGGAACCCCATCACCTGCATCTCTGTGCCTCTCCACTGGGGTCAGCCAATAGGAGGCACCAGCTGGAGGTCAGAGGTGAGAGTAGGAAGAAGTCAGGGTATTTCTTCTCTGCCCAAGACAGGGTATCCCAAGCCACATCTCTGGTGGTGGCTTTGTCCTGCTGTGAGGACAGCTGCAGCTCACTGGCTTCTCTTCTCCTTCCAGTCCTGTGGTACTAACAGCTCCCCACTGTTGCTGGCCTTTGGGGGCCTGCGACTCTCCCAGCCCTTCCCCTGCCTCTGTAAGGAGTTCTTTCATGAAAGTGACTTCGCCTGGACCATTTGGAGGATGCTATTTCCTGCAGGGATCTCGTTGTCACTTTGTTTGTTTGTTTGTTTGTTTTAATGGCAAGGGGTGCTGGCTTCCAGTTAGAGTAGTGAACCAAGCCAGTGGTTCCGGTGAGGCTCCCGGCCAGCAGCAGAGGGCTCCCTGGGAACTTGGGATCTAGAGTCTCGGGCATTCCCTAGACCTGCGGAGTCAGGAACTCTGAGGGTGGGGCCCAGTCTGGTTCCAGGGGGCCCTGTAGAAGGTGAAACATGCTTGAATTTGAGAAACACTTATCTCAAGTTCTGCTGTGAACGTGCGTATTAAAAAGTGAGTCATCTTAAGGAAAACTCGGCTGTGTGCTAGGACAGGAGGTGTTGGTGTCTGGCAAACATGAGGGGACTGCAAAAGTCCATTGAAGAGGCCAGGTGTTGGCATAGTGGTGACGTGACTCACATTCCAAGGTCTCCCCAGCATGCCAGGCCTGTGTATACCTGTGACCCAGGTCAGCTGAAGCTGGGGATAGACCCCGGCAGGGAAGACCACATTGGAGGTGCACCTGTCTCGCTTCTCTCTCTCTCTCTCTCTGTCATGGAAGAAACAAACTTACTTAATTATTTTTGGAAAATGGAATTGAAGTATGAGTTTTTTCTGGAGCAAAAAAAAAAAACCCTTGAAACTCATGCTTAGTTTTCTCATAATATGCATCTTCCATGAGCTTGCAGAGAAGTGCTGTGGGAATAATTAAGCCGCCGGGAAGCGCTGCACAGTGCCTGGCCTGCAATGAATGCTCATCGCCGTTATCAGTGCGGTGGAAAGTGTGCCTGTGTGAGAACAGGGAATCAGAGAAGCCAGAGGCCTGGGAGCTTCCAGGTGGGGCTGGCTGGGCCGTCCCTTGGTGATGCTGGTTGCCGTGGGGAGGAGAGGCAGGCTCGATAATCATGGGATGATTGTTCCAAGTCTGCGAAACTTGCCGCTAATGGCCCGATTTGCAGCAGAGAATAGGTGACCTCCAGGGGCAGAAGAAATGAAATGATTTCTCATCAGGTACGGGCCTGTGGGGTGACAGCTAATCCTGTAAGCTGCACTTTTTGCCTTTTTAAAAAACAGCTCCGTGACGCCAACTCTGACCCTCCATTGACGGAATTGATGGGTTGGCGAGAACGGTTTCCTTTTCAACCCAGATCCCTCTTTTGCTGAGATAGTTTCCAGGCCACCTCCTCGGCTGAGTGGGGAAAACATGGGTGAGCGCCATGTCCTGGCTGTGCAATCTTGAGTGGGGGCCCTATCCCTCTGTCCCTCAGTTTTTGCATTTGAAAAACGGGCATAATAGGCTTGTGAGTATCAAATAAGGCCGTGCCTATGAATGACTGAAGCTGAAACTTGGCAAGTGTTCAAGAAGGTCAAGTATGACTATTATTTGCTAACAAGTATAATTATGAGCAATTATAATGATTATGAGGTGGGAGACACAGTGGTGAGGGGCGTGGCTCTGGGCTAGTCCCACCTCAGTGGACTCCCAGCTCTGCCAAAAACTAGCTGGGAGACCGGGCAAGTGGTCTGTCCCCAGGGAATTTTTCCTCGCCTGGAAATTGAGGATAAGTACTCAGTTCACGGACTTCCATGAAGGATGAATTAACTGAGGAGTAAAGTGCTCAGGACAGTGCCTGCCCTATTCCAAGGGATTTGTGCAAGGGTCTTCAAAAGGTTCGTGGAAAATGCATATTATAGATTTCAAAATATTTTTGCACCAAATAAGTAACCTCGCCCTTTAATTCCCTCTTCCCATGAACTTTCTGAAGTCCCTCGCCCAATCCGTAACTGTTAACTGCTCTCGTTACTTCTCACGTGACCGAGACAAGGGGGACTAGGAAGCCCAGACCAAGTGCAGGACAAATAAAACCTTTATGGGGGTCAGAGGGGAATTGTTGCAAAGTCACATGAAATCCCAGGATGTGCCGGCATTTCAAGAGAAAACATTTCTCTCTCAAAAAAATCCATCAGTTTAATACATCAAATCAATAAGTGGCGGCACAGCGGCCGCTGGCTATGCAATGGCCGCCAGGCCCCCAGGACCGAGCATGGCATGTTAAATCATGTAAATGACACGGCCGCAGGCCCTCAGGGCTGGAAAGAGCCCCGTGACAGCTGCAGCTTGAGAAATGTCAGTGGCGGGCTCAGAGGCAGGGTACACAACTGGGAGGAGGCCACAGGCCTCAGAGAACTGGGGGCGGCACTGCACCCCTGGCCTGTGTTCTGCAGCTGAGAAACCTTAGGCCCAGAGAGGAGCTAGGACCTGCCCTCGTCCCAGTGCAAGTCGGGGGTAGTCAGGGAAGAAGGCATCTTTCACCTCCCAGACTGCTTTGTCATTTACGACCAGAGGACAGGTTGTTCCTCCCAGAGGCCCAGAATTGAGGGTCGAGGGGAAAGCAGAGTCTGGAAGAGGGGGTCGCTGTGAGACCAACAGATGGTAGCTACATCACATGCCTACAGCCCCCAGTGCACACCCTGAAGCCACACAGCTCTAGAAGGCCCTTTCTCTGCCATAGGCCTCAGTTTCCCTCTTGGTAAGGTGAGTAGATGCTCAAGCTGCCAACAGGCTGAATCCAGCCCCTAGAAATGTCTTATTTGGCCCACACAGGATTTTAAAAATATCTGAATCCATTAACAACTTTTAAAAATAGGAGACTTCACATAAAAATCCAGATTTCTGGATTTGTTTGCAAAACGGGTGGATACAGCAACACTGGACCTGCACCCCCACGTACTGATGACTGTGAGGCTGGGCTGGGGCTGCCCCCTCCCAGCAGAACACACACTGCCAAGTCTGCACTGACCCCACCCGGTCCCTATCGGTCCTTCCTGGTTCCCACCTGGCTCTCAGCTCCCACCGAAGAGGTCTAGAGTCGCTCCTTCCTGACACTGGGACAACGCAGCATGGTCCCAGCTGAGCATGGTCCCTGGTATATACACATAGGGGTACGATAGCCAGCTCTCTCGGGGACCATCACAGCACCCCAGACATGTAGGTGCCAATCTTCCGAGTTAGATGACAAGGAAAGGCATTCAGCTCTGAAAAGATGTCCAGACTGACTGACACAAGCCAAAAGCATGGTCGCCAAGCTATTCCTGAGAGTCGTTTGACCTACCCGTCCTTCACCCACTTTCCACAAAGACCCAGGAGGGTGAGAGTTGCCCATGGTCATGACATCTAGAATCTTTTCTTTTCCCCTGGTCAGAGGGTCCATACAGTCACCAGAGAAAGAGAGAGAGAGAGCACTGCCCCCTACCCCAATGGAGCAGTCAAGCCGCAATTTTTTTCCTCCATCTCTCCATCCTTTCAAGATTTTGAACACACACGCTCATGCACCTGGCGTGTTTTTCAAGCCACAGAGGCCAGGATGCAAACCATGGTTGGCCATATGGGACCTGGCTTCCCACGCACAGCGCTTAACCACTGCACTGCAGGGTCAGTCCCAGAACTGTCTTTTTTTTTTTCTATAGCACGTGCTACAGGGCACATGTACTCACCAGAAAGACAGAGAGAGACAGAGAGAAAGAAAGCAAGAAATCACCCCCCAGGGGGGATGGCCACACCGCAATCCCTTCTCCTCCATTCTCCTCTCAGGATCTTGGGCATGCATGCACATGCACCCAGAGTGAGTTTAAGCCACTGGGTCCAGGACTTGAATCGTGGTTGACTACATGGGAGTCCAGCAACATAGCCATTACACCAACTGCTGGTCCCCAGAATTGTCCTTTGATAAGTAGGAAAGTCTTGAAAGATTTCCTATAAAGTCTGACTTGAGAGTACCATGGAGACACTAAGTGGCTGCTCTAGTGGAACATGCAAAACGCGGGTCAGGGTCAGGTGGTGGCTCAGCAGTAACACAGTTGCACTGACATGCAAAAGGTCCTGAGTTCACACCCTGGAACCTCCCTGTGCATGTTGCGTGCGAGTGTGTGTGTGTGTGTGTGTGTGTGTCCATGTTTGTAGTCCTTGGCTGGTTGAGGCTGCAGGTGGGTCGTGGTGTGAGCTCTCTCTCAGAATAAATAAGTCATTTTTTTTAAATGTTGGGTAGCAAGCACTCGCAAAATCACATGGAAGTTCCCATCCCGGAACTAAGCAACATGCTACTTTGGAAACGCAGGGTGACCGTTCCTGCCTTTGCGACCATCTTTTCTAGAGCTATCCCCTCTGCTGCTCACTACCACGAGCGAGGCCCACAGGCCAGCCTCGTCACCTCAAACCTGTAGGAAATGGGACCAGCGGGTGGCATGGTGGTTAAGGCGCTGGACACGCCCACATGGCCGACCACGGTTCAAGTCCTGGACCTGGTGGTTTGCTTTCTCACTTCCCCTCTCTCTCTCTGTCTCTCTCTGGTCAAATTAAAATAAATGGATGAATAAATAAAATTAAATAAATAATTAAAAAAAAAACCTGTAGGAAATGCCAAATCTGCATCTCAACAGCTCCTCAGCTGGCTCGCATGCACATTAGTGTGATGAGAATGAAGTTCGAAGTTCGAGTCTTAGTGCGGCATTCAGTGCCCTGACAAGCCCGTCCCAAGCAGCCTGCCCACCTCTGCTCTCCACCTGCCAGACAGGCAGAGCTGCTGGCTAAACATTCCTCGGCCTCCCTGCCTCCGGCTTGGCTCAGCCCCAGGAGGGCCATCCTTTCTGGGGCAGCTGGATAATGGTCCCCCAAAGCCGTCCACATCCTAACCTTTAGGGTTTTCAATATGGCAGAAGGGACTTTGCTGATGTGATTAAGACCCGAGAGTGGAGATTACCCCGGATGCTCTGGGCATGGTGAAATCACAGGGGTCCTTGTAAGGAGGAGGTAAAGGGCGAGAGGAGGAGTCAGAGCAGGAGATGAGATGACAGAACGGAGGTGGAGCCATGTGGGGCCATCGCCTGAGAACTGTGGGCCCCTTCTAGAAGCCAGAAAAGCTGAGGAAACAGTTCTCCCCGGGAGCCTCTGGGAGGCTGCCGACACTGCCATTCATGTCAGAATTCTGACCTCAAATACCGTAAGGCAAGTTCGTGTTGCCCTAAACTAATAAGTTTGTGATTATTCTTTCATCAGCAACAGGAAACTAATACGCATCCTTTCTTCATTCAAGACCACCTCCTCCAAGAAGCCTCTGCTGACCACCCCCACCCCACTGTGGCCCCGGACAGTTCTCAAAAGAAGGAAGCCTCTCCACCACTTCCGCCTCAATGCCTCACTGTGGGAAAAGCCTGGGCTTGGCGTTGAGCCGGCTGGATTTGACCTCAGGCCCTTACCTGACCCCTCCAGCCTCAGTCTCTCTGGCTATCAGATGAGGTCAGCTCTACCAATCTCACAGGTTTTCTGGGTAAGTTAAATGAATAACAGCTCCAACTCCTCACAGTGTGGTTCTTAGGACACTGCAGGTCCTTGGAAATGTGCCGTGGGACGCTGACGGGCTGGGCCGAGAGAAACAATTCCCTTCTCCAGGGCACTCTCAACTGGACAAACTAGTTTATCATTGGAACGGAATGTGACAGTGCCTTATTGCCCCAGAGTCCCACCAGGCTCCGGTCCCTGTCAGTTCAGAAACGTCCCTGGCAGACATGCCCTTTAGAAATGGCTCTGTTGGAATCTGGGGACAGTCACTGAGTATTTGAGACGTGTCATAGTGACCTTGGCCTTCAGCATCAGGCTACAATGATTTTTCTTTGTCTTCAGGATCCAGAGGCTGACTCTGAAAACAAGCTCTGGCCACACAGGCTGGGGCCTGGGGCGGAGGCAGAGAGGAGAGGCATATCGTAGGAAGAGCTTCGAAGTCCAAGGTGGAGTTCTGGCCCCAAAGGCCCCGTCCCCGGCAGCTCACCTCGGGCAGGTCCTCTGATCTCGCTGGGGCCCTCTTTCCCCATCTCTGAAATGGGGTTTCTGTGCCAGCAAAGGAGCTAAGGCGGGCAGGACAGGCGGTGCGGACTGCCTACGGCAGGTTTTAGAGACGGTTTTATTCCGCTTTGTTTTCCCTTTGCTCGGTCACCCCCATCTCTCTCTTTCTTTCTCTTTCTCTGTCTCCCCATCCTCTCTCTCTCTCCCACTGTCTCTTTCTGTCTTGGTAATGTGATATTTTTTTTTAATTGAGTTAGGAACTGCAGAACAGCAGCCACAGCACCAAGCAAATTCCCTGATCCGGATTCTGTGCCATATACTCGGGGTGCTGAGCGGGAGCAGGGTTTGGATCCTGCCCTCTGGGAACCCCAAATGGAACCTGAGCCGGGAGATGCCCACCCAGTGGCAACCATGTCACACAGCACCCAGGCGTGCACCCCTGGCAGACAGAAATTCATTGCATCTCCACAACCACCCAATGACTGAGGTGCCACCTTACTGCAACCTTAGAGATGAGAGGAGACTGAGGCCCAGGGCCATAGCTGGTGAGTGACAGAGCTGGGATTCTGAGCCCGCCCAGCCCAGCTCCCCTGTGCTGCAGGCCCAGCTGGCCTGGGGTGCCTCTCTGCTGCTCACCAGGGGGCCCCAGCTGTTTTCTTCCAACAAGCATGTGAGGTAGGGACTGCAGGCTCCATGTTGCAGGTGAGGACACTGGAGGCAAAGGGAAGGAAAGTGATCTGCCCTAGGCCCCACGCACGATGAGGGGAGTCAGGAGGGATGCCCAAGTCTATCTGAGCTCCCCACCCTCCCATCGCACGCACACCCGTAGCTCTCTGCAGCTGCAGCTCTCTGCACGGTTTCTGGGCCAGGGACCCCTGTGGCATCTGGTGAAGCCTAAGGCACTTTCTCTGAATAATGTTTTTAAATGCACAAAATAAGCATACATCGAATTGCAAAGGAAACCAATTATATTGAAATGGAGTTATCAAAACATGTTTTAAAGATCAGACGTATAACATTAATATACGTGCTGCTTTATTAACACATGAAATAGCAAAATCGAGTGCAAGTCTAATAAGGACTGGGACTTCAAAGGCGCGAGGAGGGAAGCAACCTTTCAAGGTATCTGCGAACGCTCGAAGGTGATAGGAAGACTCTGTGATTTCCATTGGTGACAAATCTCTAGGTACAGCGAGGCCCGCTGAGGTTTGTCACCTCCGCACATCATGAAGGGAGATGCTAACTGCCAATTAGAGGCCAGCGAGAATAAAGATGTGAGATTTTGCCACCTATGTTCTTGGATCCCTGTGAGTTCCGATCACTGGTCAGGAGGGAATGTCCAGGTCATGCATCTCTGCTAAAGCAGCACTCTCCGCGGCGTAAGTGCTTATCACAATGCAGATTCCTGGGCTAGCCCCCCACCGCATCTGGTGCTGCAGGCATGCGGAGAGGTTAGGACCTGCACTTTGAACACGCACCCCAGGCTGTTCTGATGCTCAGGCCATGTTATGAGACAGAGATGTCTCCTAAAATTGTGAATGGGATCCAATCTTTTCATGCTGCATGCACATCATGAAGGGAGATGCTAACTGCCAATTAGAGGCCAGCGAGAATAAAGATGTGAGATTTTGCCACCTATGTTCTTGGATCCCTGTGAGTTCCGATCACTGGTCAGGAGGGAATGTCCAGGTCATGCATCTCTGCTAAAGCAGCACTCTCCGCGGCGTAAGTGCTTATCACAATGCAGATTCCTGGGCTAGCCCCCACCGCATCTGGTGCTGCAGGCATGCGGAGAGGTTAGGACCTGCACTTTGAACACGCACCCCAGGCTGTTCTGATGCTCAGGCCATGTTATGAGACAGAGATGTCTCCTAAAATTGTGAATGGGATCCAATCTTTTCATGCTGCATTCTTCTGGTGACTTCACACGACCCTTGGAATAAACCCCAAGGCTTTTTAGGTCCCTGCAGGTGATCGGGTCACTGCCTACTCGTTGTCGTCCCCTTGCCATGCACTCCTGCCACACCAGTGGTTTTCTCCCACTAAGGCCACCTCAGGGCCTTTGCACTGGCTGCGCTCTCTCTTCCCCGAGATCGCTGGGCTGGCTGCTCTCCAGCTCGGATGTCACTGACTTCTCCATCTAAAATAGCCACCCCCCATCACACTCAGTCACTTTCTGCTCTCCACCCGGTTTGAGGCCCCCTGCCCACCTCATCAGTAAAAATGATGATGGTTAACTGTGTCTGCTCGGCTCCCCCGTGCAGAGTTCACGCAGGCCACGTGTGGACTGTGTCCCGGAAGTGTCCGGTGCCTGCACAGGAGGTGCTCAGTAAGTTCTTGCTAAGTGAATGGGTGAATGAAGAAATGACACCTGCTGGGGCAGGAGAGACAGTCAGACTCCCTGAGCAGCGAAAAGGCCAAGGGAAGACAGTGCTTCCAGGAGAAGGAGCCGCTGTTCTGAGGCTGCCACAAGGTGGAGGAGGATGAAGACTGAGCAACAAGAATGGGCGATACGGGCCCCTCATGCCACTTGGGAGGAGGGAGGCAGGTTCTCCAGAGAGGCCGAGGCCAAGGGGCATCCAGCTTCAGGGACTGGGGGGCCACGGGCTGAGGCTGATGGTGCAGCCCCCATGGCCTCTAGTAACGAGAGCTGGGGTGGGGAGGAATTGCCCAGGCTTCAGAGCAGAGGTGGGAGAAGGGGGGCAGCTGGTGTGGTCATCTGGATTCACTGACTCACTCATTAATTCATTTTCAGCAGAGAGGGATTCAGGGGACAAGAGCAGGCTCTGGAGCCAGCAGGGTGAGTTCAAATCCCACCTCTTCCACTTGCCAGCTGGGAGATCTGGGCAAGTTATTTAAAATATTGTTGGGGGACCAGTCAGTGGTGTGGTGGTGTCGGGCAGCTAGAACCCACGTGGCTGATCACATGGTTCGAGTTCTAGACCTGATGGCTTGAACAGCATGCTAGGTGCCTGTGTGTGCGAGCCCAAAATCCTGAAAGAAGTGGAGAAGGAATTACCATGTGACTATCCCCCATGGGGGGTGCTTTCTCACTTTCTCATTTCTCTCTCTCTCTCTGGTGAGTACCCATCCCTCTGGCATATTAAAGGGGGAAAAAAAGTAAAACATTGCTGGGCCTTGGTTTTCTCATCTGTAAAATGGGATGACAACCATGCTGCCGGCCCCTAGGGTTGGGTCAGGATTTTGTGACATGTGTAGGAGGACCTGGCTGGTACTAGAGAGCTCCAGTGAGCGTGAGCCATGGCCTCCTTGCTGCTGCTCCATGCCAGAGCTGTGCTGAGCTGGGAAGGAGCAAGGACAGGCAGCTCTCAGCGAGATCAAGGACACAGAGGGACACACCAACAAAGCAGTGGCAGCTCATCAGAGAACCAGGGGACAGGATGGGCAGACCCAAGGGTTTCTGGAGGTGGTGCTGTCTCCAATGGGTCCTAAAGGACAAGAGGGGGTCCAAGAAAGCTAAGGCAGACCCCGGGAGTGGAGCCAGGCGTGGCTTGGCTGGACCCAGTGACCAGACTGAGAAGGACCAGGGGCCAGCAGAGGAGGCCACTTTGTCCCTAAGTAGCAGGGGGCTCATGCCAGTAGAGATACCCAACCAGATCCAGGTGTCTGAGAGCTGCCACCACCTGAAACCAAGGCCAGGGCAGTGCCAGGCAAGATGGGATGCTGCGGGGAAGCAGGGCAGAGGACTCACTTCCTGCAGACTCTGGGCTTCATTCTTTGTGTGTGGCCCACCAGGACAAGGGCCTGAGGGGCCACCAAACTCCCACCCAACTCCATCACAGCCCACCCACAGTGTATGGGGGAGGGGCTCAGGCTGCTGAGCCACCCTCACCCCCATCCTCAAGTCCCAAAGCTGGAGGGAGCCAGCAGGGGCAACTACCTAGTGCGGGCTGGGAGTCAAGAGGCTTGGAGGACAGTGTGCAGTCTCTGGGCAGGGCTCAAGGCTCCACCCTCCTCCCCAAGCTCCCAGATTTGGGAATCCCAGCCCTAGTAGGGCCCTGGCCAAGACAGAGACACCTGTGTTCCTCCATGGAGCCATCTGAGTGTGTGTTCTGGCTGGCTGAGGATTCGCTCACCTTTCAGGGGTCACTAGCCACCTGCACAAGGCTCTACAAGTCCCCCTCACCTCTGCCGGCATCTCCTGCTCCCTTCCGTTACTCACTTCCCTCTTGTCATTCTAGCTTCCTTGCTGTTTGTAAAATGCACTAGGGACACTCCTGCCCAGGGCCTTGGCACTTATATTTCCTCTTCCTCTGAGTCCCTCTGCCTCCTCTAAGTTTTGCCAAAATGTCACTTCTCAGTGACGTCTTCCCTGATCCCACTACAGATGGTCCCAAACTAGTGGTGGTTCTACTTACAATCTTTTGACTTTACAATGAGCTCATCATCCTAAATCGAGGGGTATTTGTGTGTAAAACTGCCGACAGCCCTCCCCAATTCTCCCGAAACCCCTTCCCTTTTCATTTTTCTAGCCTTGATCACTATTGGGCAGCCAGAGGCATCTTTCTAGAAGGTAAGTCCATTCTCCACTCCTGAGAGCCCTCCAGCATGCCACTGGTTTCCCACCATACTCAAATGAAGTCCATGCTCCTCCCAGGACCCTCAGTGCCCTGGCCCCCATCCACCTCATTGCTCTTTTTTGCCTTCCCCCTGGAGGCTCCTTCCCATCCACAAACACAGAATTCACTCCCCCCTTCCGGGCCTTTGCACATGCTTTTCCCACCTGGAACAGAAACATGGGGAAAAGAAATCTTGTCCTTTTCTCCTTAAGTGAAGGGACCTGACTCTTGGCTGCCATGTCAGGAAGACGACAGGAAGTGGTGGCAACTGCCGCCATCTGGAGGGCCCACGCCCAGGAAGAGGCCCCAGCTCAGCTCCCTCCCAGAGGGAGAGGGGCCCAGTGTGGCCAGAGCCTCCAACTCTCAAAAGAGTAGGGCTGTCCTCTCAGAACAGCCCTTCTTCAAGAGGCAGCCAGCTCCATGGCTCCTGTAATCTAGCCATTTGGGGAGAAAGGAAGAT